AGAGAGAGAGAGAGAGAGAGAGGACGTATTGTACAATACTATATATATCTATTATATATAAATCTATATATATGTGTGTAAATGTTTTTCCCCTCTCTCTCCTCACAGGTTGTTTAGCTACAAGGGTTCCCTGTCTATATATCTATATATAAATATATTAACCATCATCTCTCTCCCTCTCTATATTATATATATATATATATATATCTACACATCACCTCATATCTCTCTACCTGCAGGTTGTTTGGCTACAAGGGCTCCCTGTCTATATATCTATATATAAATATATTAACCATCATCTCTCTCCCTCTCTATATTATATATATATATATATATATACATCACCCTTTCCCTCGCTCTCCCTACCTGCAGGTTGTTTGGTTACAAGGGTTCTCCGACGGCCGAACGCATTGCCGTCATCATGGGTTCCGCATCCAAGACGATGGAGGAGGCGGTCGAGTACCTGAACGAACTCGGGGAGAATGTCGGCGTGGTGAAGGTGTGTAACGCAGGCGGTGGTAGCGGTAGCGGTAGTGGTAGCGGTAGTGGTAGCGGTAGCTTAAAATTAAACGCTTAATTTCTACCCGAGTTAATTTCTACCGTGTAATAATTCGCCGGTATTACAGGTGAATCTCTACCGGCCGTGGTCGACGCGCCATTTCCTAGCAGCCGTGCCTCCGAAATTGCACTCCCAAATAATTTTTCTGCACTCCCACAACACTCATTCCTGGCTACTACCCTGATGTTGGATGGTGGTGGTGAACGGTCTGTCACGTGCACACCGGAAAATTACTCATTTACCCGTGTTTAATCGCATCTACCCGTGTTTAATCGGAAAAGATTGCTAATAACCTGGCTAATGCATGCCCTGATTACAGGTGAATCTCTACCGGCCGTGGTCGACGCGCCATTTCCTAGCAGCCGTGCCGCCAACGGCGCGTCGGATTGCCGTGCTCGACCGAACGCGGGAGGACGGAGCGTCGGGCATGCCGCTGTTCTTGGATGTCAACGTGTCGTTCTCAGATGCCGGCGTCGATAGGTGGGTGAGGGGGGAGGAGGGGGGTGGGAGGAAGGAGGGTGGGTGAGGGAGGAGGGAGAGGGGACGAGGGAGGAGGTTGTGTTTGTAATGGGAAGTGTAAGGATTATGGTTAGGGTTAGGGTTAAGGTTAGGGTTGGTGTCAAGGTTAGTGTTTGGATTGGTGTTAGGGTCCGTGTCAGAGTTAGGGTTGGTGTCAGGGTTAGGGTCAGTATCAGGGTTGGTGTTAGGGTTAGGGTTTGGATTGGTGTTAGGGTCAGTGTCAGAGTTAGGGTTGGTGTCAGGGTTAGGGTCAGTATCAGGGTTGGTGTTAGGGTTAGGGTTTGGATTGGTGTTAGGGTCAGTGTCAGGGTTAGGGTCGGTGTCAGGGTTGGTGTAGGGTTAGGGTTTGGATTGGTGTTAGGGTCCGTGTCAGAGTTAGGGTTGGTGTCAGGGTTAGGGTCAGTATCAGGGTTGGTGTTAGGGTTAGGGTTTGGATTGGTGTTAGGGTTAGGGTTGGGGTCAGTGTCAGGGTTAGGGTTAGGGTCGGTGTCAGGGTTAGGGTCAGTGTCAGGGTTAGGGTCCCTGTCAGGGTTAGGGTTAGGGTCGGTGTTTAGGTTAACGTTATTGTCTGGGTGTGTAGGGTTAGGGTTAGGGTCAGTGTTAGGGTTAGGATCGGTGTTTAGGTTAACGTTATTGTCTGGGTGTGTAGGCTCATCACAGGAGCTCAGTACGGACTAGCCAGCAAGGAGTTCACGCCAGCCATGTGCAAGGCCGTCTTCGACAACCTGAACAGCGAGAATCCGCGACGCCAATACGTCATCGGCATTGAGGACGACGTCACCAAGTCCTCGCTGCCCTACGGTAAGTCGCAGCGCCACCTAGCGGCGACGACGACGACGAGGAGGCAGCCGCGCTTAATCGTTAATGAATTAATGCTGGTGTTAACGACTGGCGGTCGACTGCTGCGCTTTGGCAGCGATCGGTGTTTGCAAGTGGTTCGATTAAATGTTGGAACTATAATATAAAAGTAATTAAGTGTGATTCCTTATTGATTGTGTCATTAGCTACGTCTGTAGAACACTTCTTCATGATATATTTATGTCTATCTGTCTGTGCGTCTGTGTGTGCATGCGTGCGTGTGATGTGCGTGCGTGCGCGCGTGTGATGTGCGTGCGTGCGCGCGTGTGATTTGCGTGCGTGTGTGTATGCGTGCTCGTGTGAGTGTGTGTGCGTGTGTGATGTGATGTGCGTGCGTGCTCGTGTGAGTGTGTGCGCGTGTGTGTGTGCATTTCTTTGAATCGATATCCCTTGGCATACCTGGCGTCGTGACTAACCGCGCGTGGCGCCACCTATGTTTCAGGCGAGCCGATAACAACGGTGCCGGAAGGCACGAAGCAATGTGTGTTCTGGGGGCTGGGGTCGGACGGTACGGTCGGTGCTAGCAAGACGGCCATCAAGACCATCGGTGAGTCGCCTCTGACCTGTTACGATTACTATCGGCCAAAACAAAATATAGGTGTGGTTACGATTTTCCGACCGACCCTATTTATTCCCAGCGACCCTAAACATTTTGTTGTCAATTTTCTTTAAAGTCCAAAAAAAAAAAATAATGAATTGGACAGTTCCTGCTTCAAAAGGCACAACGCACATCCTTCGGACATGGTTCGTAAATAAAATGTTTCAAGAAAATTAAATGTTTTCCCTACCTACCTACCCTATTTTTTTCGGCATGTAACGGTAACCACACATATATTTTGTTTTGGCCTTACTGTACTCCTGTTCCTAGTTCTATGTTTCTGGACGTCAAAGTGTCTTTCTCCAGCGTCAACGGGTGGGTGAGGGAGGAGGTAGTGAGGGGAGGAGGAGGGTGGGAGAAGTGAGGGAGGAGGTAGGGAGGGTAGGAGAGGTGAAGGAGGAGGTAGGGAGGGTA